TTCCTCAACCTGACTACTAACTTCTTTTTATATCAGATTTGTCTTAATTCTGACTTAAAAAGTTCTAGGTACCCATATCAAAAATGTTGAGTTGTCAGCATCTGAGACAAATCGGTGCATTAATTGGTTAAAAGCGAATGATGAAAAATGCTTGATTTGTATTCTTTCAGTTTCTGGCCTTGCTCATAGCTTAAAATTCTGATAGAAATATATAATATTTCAGTAGTTGTTTTGGAAATAGATTTACATTTAATGTAATTTTCAAATAAAAATGAACACAATGGAAATTTCATGCAAAAATGTGAGATGGAGTCAACTTTTTCCCAAGTAAAGTAAAGTGTGGAGCAATCTATTGAATACTAGTACGTAGTATTTAATGTTTAATGAAAGGAACCTAGCTTAATCCGGCATGTCATTTATATATAACGGTTGGATATAAACAGAAAAATGCACCCTCTATATAAAACTTGTTGACAATAGTTGTGTTTAGGTTACACACACAGGCCAAGATTAATTAAAACTATATTCCTAGCTGGGATTATTATACCAGGAATGTACAACTCTCTCGGCATACTAACTGATTTCTCACTAAATTAGGGATGTATACGTTTTAGTTCCGTAGTTATAAAACAGTGACAAATGCAGTATATGTATAAGGCAATGTAACTGGAATCAAGTCTTTTTTGTCTATTTGTTTCTTGACGCTGTTGGTTATACCAAAAATGACATACTAAAATGAATATAGCAGGAAATCTTTGAAATTGAAAACAAAAAAAAATAATAATTGGTCGTTGTGACATACTTGAGGGCACTAAAATCTGAGCAAACTGTTCTAGCACACACTGTATTGGTCTGTACTTAAGGTCTAACACACCTAGCTACTAGCACTACAAGAAATGGCTAATAAGCATTGGTTTTACCATATACATGTAATTAATATATACACTGGGTAATATTTTATTTTAAACTGAAAATATGCCCTTGTGCAATTATTTATAATCATTAAAAGCTAAAATTTAATGTCTTGTGAGAACAGTTCAGTAATGAAAGTGAAAGAAAAGAATAAAACTTATAATTATTTAATTATTGATGCAAATTTGAGTGGAAACGTCAAACCTGTCAACACCAGCAATATCACAAAAATGTTGTCGTGTAGAAATAAGTTTTGGGAGTGACAATTTCAATACACAATAAGATCTCAAATTGTTCACAGTGGAAATTTATTTGCTGGGGGGAGGGGGGGGGGGGTGAATAATAAAAATGTGAAGATGCAAGTACCCACCAAGAATAAGGAAGTTTACTTTCAATATACACTTCCTTATAAAGGTTGCATGCTCAGTGAGTATCATGGCAATATATATTCAATACAATTTGATTGTTTTGAAATACATTACCCTACCTCTTGTCTTATAATATTAAGTCATATGACCTGAATACTTTACCAGTTTATTGCCAGAAATTCTATTGGACCTTATAGAATAATTTTGGAATGAGTTAGAGGGCCCTGCTGTATGTCCATAAACACTTGCTTGAGGGCACTCTGGCAACTAGTTAATAATTTCCCAATTTAAGGAGCCCCAGATATTTGAGTGCCAATGGACAGCAATGTTGGTCCGCGATCGTCACAACAGACAAAGCTGTGAAGTTAATGATAATAGAGTAATTTGGTATCTGCAAGTTTTGGTAGAATTTTGGGGAGTATAAATAATGCTTTCATTTATCTCCAAGAATGTGACTCTGAATCTAGCATGATCCTGCCTGGAGTACTCGAAGACATCTACTTTAGAGTATCCAACTGATCCTAACATTGACACCATCATTGTCAGCAGTGGGTTTGAGTCAACAGTTTCTGATAAGGATTTGCTATGCATTGTTACCAACATTTTTTTTATTCAGTTCATCAAAACCAAAACACATTTTACATAAAACCACAAAAATAACAAAGTACAAACAAACCAGAGTAACAGTACATTACATGTACTTGGTATACAAATATAAAATAGAATCACTACTCACCACATCTGTTCACAAAAATTCACAAAAGTTGGAATCGTTCCAATGTGCCAAGCATAGTATTTAGTACCGGTACCGGTAAGTAGAAAATTTTTCTGAAACTAACGTAACCTAAAAGCAACTGGTAGTCGCATGCAGTTAAGATTAAGACATTGGCCCCAATTATACAATACATGTGTCCTAATATCTGTGGTTAATTGAGAATGTATAAACAGGTATGTAATGTTGCTAATCTGATGCAATCAAGAACTTAAGTTTCGTTCATGCGTAGTTACCCCGACTGTGACTCTGCCATCTTCTTCAACTGGGCTAATACCTGTTTCCTATTCCTGCTGGTTGTCCATTCATTTCAGTGATTTGATGATGTCTATGTTTAATGTAGACAAAAGGGTGAATCATTTCAAACAGGTCAATGTCTCCCATTTTAGGAAATCCATCAACGCAATGCACTAATAAGGCAGTCTTTCTTACTTCTAAGCATTTGTGATGCACACGTGTCATGTCTTGAGAACAGTGGGTGATTAATTTTAAATCATAGGTTAAAAATGTTGTTACCTGTTACCTATCCTCCAGATGCCTAGTGGCACATAGCGCCTCCACTGAACGTCTCCATTCTGTCCTATCAGCTGCTGCAACTCTGACTTCCGCCCATGACTTCCATCCAGCCTTGTTTCTTTCCTTCTCTACAGTGCGTCGCCAAGTTGTTTTGGGTCTACCCCGTTTCCTTTTCCCTTCTGGTGCCCATGTCAATGCTGTGTTACAGATGCTTGTGGGTTCCTCCCTTAATGTGTGCCCAATAAATTTCCATCTCCTCTTCATTACTGTAGTGCTCAATTTCTCCATCCCAGTCCTGGTTAGCAGTTCTTCATTCCTAACATGGTCTTTTAACATAGGTTAAAAATGATAATTGATAATTGTGAACGTTAAGCTTTTTATTTATCAGATTTGTACCATGAACCCCAAATCAATACCTTATACTACTGCACACTTTGCGTTATCAGCATCACCGCATGCCATATGAGATTGGCAGTGTAGGTCAGCTGCTTATCGGCGTGACTTCTGGCAAAGTAGGTAGCTGTATCCCTGCTAAATATTTGACAATGTAAGAGATTTTAGTCAATTCAGGCCAAACTGCACATAGTCACTTGTTGGTCCCACAGTGACATCTGAAACTGCAATGAAATAGTCAAATTTAAATTTGTAACGTTCTATTTGACTGCTACAATTCATGGAGCTGATCAGTATCACTCACGGCTGGATTCAATATCTCACCACAGATTCGCTAGTGTGCCATTTTTCTTCCTAGTAAGCTCCCAGCATTCCTTGCAACACTCTGTTCATAGTTCTACTCTGTGCAAACTCACTGATGACTAAGATTAACATAGAATTCACAAAGATTGTGTCTAGCATTTACATAAAATTCCTTTTTCACCCTATAAAATAATAATAAAACATAACGATTACAAATATTTTGAACCTAAATAGCTATCGATAAAAACATCTCAAGTACAAAGTAATTTTACGGTGTTTCAGACAGCTTAAGGGTGGCATGTCGTAAATACTTCTCTCTTGCTGTTATTTCCTTGTTTTCAATCTTCCTCCTTTTATGGACACTAATAAATCGCTACCAGTACGTTAGGTCATGTATTCGACCTAATAAATAGCGTGAAAATGTTATCTAAATTTGTTTGTTCTAAAAGTCTTACATAATTAATTGATTGCACTAAACAGATTTTTGTCCAGTACATATTAACTATTGAGGGAAAAACAGCCTAGAATAATGCATAACATTTTTGGAATAATATCCATCAGCAATCCGTGGCTATCTGTGGAGGTTTTCAGCAGTATGTGGTGAATTATTTTTTTACAAGAAATAAATAATATTCATCAGAATTCCCTACAAATTCATGACAACATTAAGTATTCATTTTATAACTGTTTTTTGCATCAAATAACCAGATGAACTTTTAAAAACTGTTTACCATGGAAACCAATGATAAATATGTATACAGCTCAAAACTATTTATTTTCTGTGTCTTGTGACCATATATTTTTACCAGTATCTGTATTTTGTGCACAACAGCATATAATAAAACAATATTGAAAAATTAATGAAATCTGTTTATTTGTTTCAGTGGACGCCCATTTCTTTGGTTGTGTTGTTCAAAATGCTTACTACAGCCACACATTGAGCTTTGAATAGACTGGCTGAGTATTTTTAGTTTAGTTCTCTGTCATGCAGACAAAATGGGAATGAGGACTTATGTTTTGGGTTTAGTATGTTCAAATGCGCGTACATGCTTCCAACATCATCTCAGTCCATGACATGTCTAGACCGGACCGGCTTGTTTAAAGTTGGTACCAAGACAAGTTATATTTCAATAAATACATACATACACCTTTGACTGTCTAGTGGCAGTTTATATCATTTTTCAATCTGACATAATTCACAAAATTATTGTTTAAAAAACCCATGTGTGGAGTTTATTTCCTTCCTTATGATATTTATAAGTTTCAGCATTTTTTTTTATTAATTTAAACAATTTTTCCTGCTAGCGTTCGGCAACCAGTGGCATACTTAAATATAACACCCCTCCATGTCGGCACAGAAAGCAGTTGCAACTTTTTAACAAAATCATGGAAATGGAGCCAAGAAAAATGTTGTTGACTCCATCGTAAACTTTTTTTGTGGTTACTTATATTCTTCAATATTTCTGAAAATGAACCCTAATTTTGGTGCACACATACAAAATTTTAGTCAATTTCAAATTTTTACTCAAAAAATTTGGGCATGTTTGAAGGCAGGTGCAGACTATATTGGGACTATTTGGGGAATTTTTTTGAAAAGGTTATGTGATGCAAAGATGTGATGCAAGTGTATTTGTAAATGCTATGAACGCATGGTGACTCAAAGGTGAAAATGTATGACCATCGTTGTGCAAAACCAGTTATACTAGGATCTCCTTATTTGGGTTTTCTATTTATAGATTCTTGGTTCCAATGGGTGCATCGATAAATGCACAGACTCATTATGGCGATTCACCTTTACACTTAGCAGCTTTTCGAGGACATCTAGGTGTTGTACGATATCTGGTGGAATGTGGTGCCAATGTCACCTTGAAAAATGTCAAATGGAAAACTGCAACTGAAGAAGCTACACTAGCTAATTATGTCGAAATATCAACTTACTTGAGAAGTAAACAGGGTAAGAATACATTTTGTTTTTTTTAATTCTGGATGTTATTTTCCTGTTTTCAAATTTGTTTTTAAATTGGGCAATGGTTGGAAAACTCAACAAAACACAAATGAATCTCTAGAAATTTTAGATGGCCGAATGGTGGCCATTTTTGTGCTGAAAAATCATCAAAATCGAGCATTTATGGATGGATTTTGTTCAAACGTTAGACATTATGGGACCTTGATGCATTGATTTTCAGATCGCATTTAAAATGGCTGACTGGCGCCATTTTGTTTTAATGACATTATGGATTGTGTGAATTAATTGTTGTTGGATGCAGTTATAGTATGTTCTAACTGGACTTCTCAGGAAATTAATGTATACAATTCTTGAGGAGATGTAGCTTTTTTGTTTCCATAGAAACAATCATAGGTATCCATTTTATGCCTTTCGTTATATAAAATTGGTGTATGATGCTGTGCAACTCAGAATGATTTTTAGAAATGATTTCATAATTTTCTATAACTTTTTAGTCCCCGTTCGGACGTAGTCCGAAACCGAAGACTTATGGTTTGCCCTGTGTGCGTCCGTGCGTCCGTGATCACCTGTATCTCGAACATGTATGGACCGATTGAGTTCAAACTTCACTCATACATCACACATTATATGGGACATATGCACATGCATTTTTTTCACGATCCGATTAACGATAGCCGAATAGCGGCCATTTTAAGGCCGAAAATGCATCAAAATCGCACATTTTCACCATTCTGGACCCGGATCTCAGTTATGCATGGGCGGATTTTGTTCAAATTTGGTACATACATTAAACATAATAGGACCTTGATGCACGTCATTTTTTTTTATTGGATCAAGTTCTAAATGGCCGACAGGCGGCCATTTTGTTTTAAAGAATTCAGTTCTGGATCCGTATCCGAGACATGTCTGGATTGATCAAATTAAAACTTCACACACACATGGTACATCATGTCACAAATAGATATGTGCATTTGTTTCATGATCCGCTTAACAATAGCTGAATGATGGCCATTTTAAGGCCGAAAATGCATCAAAATCACGTATTTTCACAATTCCGGAACCGAATCTCAGTCATGCATGGATGGATTTTGTTCAGATTTAGTACAATGTTTTGTACATATGCAGGTGCACTTCAGATCAGACCACTGAAAGTGGTCTGAGTATTTGGTCATGATCTGCTTTGAATGTATATGTCACTCAAATATGAACGGAACGGGGACGTGTCATTGACAATGACTTGTTTATTTTTGTATCAATAGATGAATATAAAAGTAGTACTAGAGTCCATCCAGAATTGAATGATGGTAATAGTATTCCAAATTATAAACTGCCAAGTGGTAGCTGCGGATCACCTCGACCTTTGTCCAGTTACCTTCCCACATCACAACCACCAAGACACCTTTCCACATCCCAACCACCAAGACACCTTTCCACATCCCAACCACCAAGACATATGGCAATTAACAATTTATCTAAAGATGATGTTGATGGACATCGAAGTGCGATAATTTCTAACATACCTATTGCTGATGGCATATCAAATCGACGCCAACCTGTCGAAAGTCTTGACCCATCTTGTCTTCCACCCCCAGGCCTACCGCCATCTCTTAATTCTGATAGAACAGGAAATGTGAACATGGACCCTATGTGTCAACAGCCACCACCTCCACATAGTTTTAACGACAAGACTAAAGTATTTCATGAATCGGAAACAACACTCTTGCATCGCGTTGACGAAGATTCTCGAGATCACTTACAAGAAAACATTACCACAGCGGTGTCTGAACTTCGAGCAACTAGACAAGAGCTAGAAAACTGTCATATTCTTTTGAAAAGTTCTAGGGACAGGGAAATGAAAATATTGGAAGACGAACGTCGACTTCGTCAACGAGAAGTGGAATTGGTTGAAAGTATTTCATACTTACAATGGAGATCAAGAAACCAACACAGAAAATGATTAGTGAACAGATATTTGTAACTTTCGCATTGTGAAATTTACAAAAGCTGATTTACATATTGTGGTGCAAGCCTGTAGTAAATGTTCTGTGGAACTAGTGGTTTTAAATGTGACTCATGGACCTGATATTTGTTTAGTGTATATCGAGTAATATACTCTTGTAAATGAATAGAGAAAAAGTTTTTTTGCATTATCTTATGCAAATTAGGTAATTAATATGCACAGTGCGACTTTAAGTAAGATGGTTGTGCACTCTACAGTTATATAGCATTGGTGGAATATATTCAACCAAATGTTTTAAGTGTTTTTTTTCCTATGATAATTATCTTCTAATAATTATTCTTCTTCACATTGATCCATCAATAATGAACAAGGATAGAGAAAGATGTCAGCCCACTTAAGTCCAAGAGACAAATTCAGGAGGTAATGTTCATAAAGTAAAATATGTACTATCTTTAGTACCGGTATGCTGAATTTTTTTTGTTAACTTTTGAAATGATTGTCCACATGATCTAGTATATTTACTACTATAAGATGATATTATAATGTACATGTGTATCAGTGTCATGAATACTTTACTATGATTGGATGATACTCTGTTTTAATTTCAGCAAGCTATGGTTAAAATAGAATGTCACTGTTGATACTAGATCAGTATCAATCGAAAATTGGCTTTACGTTTGTGTTAAGGTGGGAAAATAAACTAAAATGATGGACATTTTATATATAGACAGTTTGACAAAGTGGAAAGTCACTATACAAGAAAATAGGAGGCAAAACCAGTATAATTGACTGTCGACTGTGAGTTGGTTCACTTGAGTGAGCTACACAGCCATCAATATGTTGTGCATGTGCAATGTAGTGGTGTGTGCAGTGTTGCTCGTCAACTGATACTTTTCAAAAATAGATTTATTATGACATCAAATCTATCAAAAGACAAATTTTAAAATGAACATAATTTCATGCAGACAGAAGTTTAATTTGTTTTCTTCCGATTTTGAGTATTTTTGTTTTGTTTAGATCACTAAAAATTTGCAGGAAAATATTGCTGATACGATATAATAAGTTAGATTTTGGTAGATATGTGGATCCAGTTGACATGGAATCAATAATTCGGGGAATGATTACTTAGTGATATTTCAAATTGTCATGGCTTTTTCAGGAGGGGTTACCATTGACATAAATATGAATTGATTAGATTTTATCCAAGATCTTGATTGACATAGAGACAGCATCTTTTGGAAGGATTCTTCACCATTGTCAGATAGAATCATTATGTGATTCATTGAGTGAATAAACTATTCAACTATTTGCAGCTTATTTCAATGATCTATTAACTAATTGCTTAGTATTATCTCCAGGACAGTTCTGGCATATCTATAAACGAACGTTCACCTCTATGAGGTTAAATAAATGTATTCGCCATCCTCTGCCTCTGTTAACTGTAAGCTTTACATCAACTGCAAGTTTGATTCATGTTGATAAAGCTTTTCAGTCTTATGTAGTTTCTATGAAAAAAAACTAAACATGCTTAATTCATAGAGGAAACTTTAATCCACTTTGATTTTAGAAGATACTGCATTTCACGGGTTTCAATTACTCTCCCAACTCTCTTTAACCAGTTTTGATCTTCAATGTTAAGTGTTCACTTTTTGGGGGATAAATATTTTAGAAATACTTATAAATAGCGAAATTGTATCAGAAAAAATACCAGAATGTGAGACATTTTGGAGGTCATACTTATTGTCACAATTCATCGATTTACAGTATATTTAGGGTTGAACATATATGATACCATGGTTATATATTTGTTAATATTTATATCTTCAAATTTGTAATGATTTTCCACTATACTTTTAACACAATTGCAGTCTTGTATGTTTCAATGCTGCATACTATGGCTATAGATCGCAAGAAACTTTGATAACTTTATACATATTAATGATTATGGTATAATTGTTTTTCATTATTTTAGTGTTACTAAACTGTAGCTGAAACTTGTATTGTCTCACTGTGTCATTTTTACTGTCTGAGACTGTTTACTGGCCCCAAATGTATATATAAATAACAACTGGGTTAAATGAGCCCTAGATTTTCATTTGTCGTGAGCATCTCCCTTAAAGGGTGGTGGTTGTTGCGTCGCATCCTGTTCGATATAGGACCCATAGCGACATGTACAATGCATGTAAAATTCTATAAAGTGGTTAATTATTCACTGGGTTTTAATTAGTCCCTGTTCGGACGAAGTCCGAAAACGGGGACTTATAATTCGGTCTCCGTCCGTCCGTGCGTCCGTCCGGAGTCATATCTCAGAATCCCTTGAACCGATTCCGTTTATTCTTTGCATGTGCCTAGTACTTTATGTGGGACATATGCACATGCAGTAGTTTAGCGATTCGATTCAAAATGGCCGACTGGCAGCCATCTTGTTTTTTGAAAATGTTGTATTTTGGACATGCTTTGTCAGTTGTCATTCAAACTTGGTACATAGATTATACATGTTAGGATACATGTCCATGACGATTTATTTCACAATTGGATCAAAGATGGTCGACTGGCAGGCATCTTGTTTTTGTTTTTTTATGCGGTATCTTGGACGTGCTCTGTCAGTTTTCATTCAAATTTGGCACATACATGTACTTTATACATGTTAGGATGCATGTCCATGACAATTTGTTTCAAAATCTGGTCAAGGATGGCCGATTGACAGCCATCTGACTTTTTGGCCTTACTACTATATTTCCACAATTCATGTACCATTTTCATTCGTATTTGGCACATCATACATATCAGTGTGTTTCATAATAAGATCAAAGATGGCCGAATAACGGCTGTTTTTATTTTGGCCATATTACTATGACACGAAACACGTGTTTTGATGTAAATAAACAATCTGTTGTATACGCCACTTGGAACTCAAGTTTTAAGGACACACTCGCGACAACCCCTCCGCTTTAATATGACGAGCACAAAGAGAACTTAACGGGGACTGTGTCATTTTCAATGACTTGTTTTGTTTATTTCACTGACTGGAAAATGCACTAAATTAAAACCCAGTGAATATGTAAAATTTAGCATAGAACACATTATCTAAATGATAAAACCATGAATTTAATACCCACTGAATATGCCTGAAATGGTAAATCAGCGAAATTAAAACCCGGTGAAAATTAGTCATTTTACAGTAAATTGTTTGTTTACATGAAATTTGAAGACGCGCTGCTAGACAGTCACCTCCCTTCAAACACTGCCATAGATTGTTTTGGACCAAACTATTAATAACCTGAAACTTATTTATTAAACAAGTGTAGTAATTTTCATATTTTCATGCCATTGGCAAGGACATACGACAATTACGACATAAGTCTATGATTAAGAATTCATTTCTGCAATCAATATACATGTATTTCTGGTTTAGCAACACATTTGCAACTTTTCACTCAGTTGTGCAGTAATTCCAGCACACATTTCACCAGAAATTGGTAAACTGTACAGCTGGAAAAATAATTCCTATGATCACCTGGGCAGGACACTGTCTTCCTTTCCTTATGCAGTAAGGCTTCTTCACAGAGTGACTCTTTGGGTATTTATGCAGTCACATCTGTTATTTTCATGTTACCCTGTTCTGAGACTGGATATACACCAATATATATTCTTTTATGTACTTGGGTGAGCAAGGATTTGTGTCGTACACTGAGCTATGGTAAGTTCAATTGATTGATACAGTGGCTGCCACACCATGTGTCTAGAAAACGGTACTTGGGTTCACACGATTCATGAGATGTGAAACATCAACAACTGCTCTACTGGTGAGAATGGTATTATTTTACTACACTGAATATGGTGTAGTAGAGTTTTTTGGCTTTATTAAGATACTAAATTTTACTTTTTCACAAAAATTAATGCTTACTGTATTCATATTGGGTTTGGTTATATTGTTTTGTCAAAATTCACCCGAATTACTAGTAATAAAAAATCCCTTTTTGGCAAGTGTTTCACAGAAAATTGTACAAACAAAATTAAACAACAGATTAGTAGAAAACACAACATTGACTAATTTGCATAAGACCCAACGGAAACAATGCACCGGCACGGCTTAGTCTCTTCCACGAAACCCTAACCTTAAATTTTGAACGACCTCAAACATCGCCACGTCACAGAAATAAATTTGTCGAGAATATTTAGTTTCCGCCTTTGCAGCTCGATTCATTTTTTTGCTGACTGACGTGACAGCCATTTTGGAATTGTTGAACACTGATTCATTTCGTGTTTCACAGTGTGAAATTTTCTCAGATATTATTAGGCCAATGAAAAAAAATAAGGGTTAGGGCAGGGTCTATGGTTAGGGTTTCGTTTCGTGGAAAAGACTAAGCCTACAGACACGCGTTAATCTATATTAGTGAAGTCGTTAATTTATTGTATGATTAAACTGAAGATGAAGAGAAAAAAGAGACCTGCGACGACGACAATGCCATGTACGATATGAACGTGGGAATACGTTCCGTGATAATTTCCGCATACGTTCAAACAAAGGATCTTTTGTTTATTGAGGGGGGCAAGGGTTATTTTCGTTCAACGTAATTGCAATATTTTTTTGTTCGTACAACCATGGAACTATAAACCCCAGGAAGAACAACCACTTCGTTTCCTTTGAACTATGATAGTTGCCGCGATGTCGAATGTTTATTTTGACTGTGTATTTCGTCGCATTAAAAAATAAGCCGATTTACGCAAATGAACGTTTATCTCCGACTATCTTTCGTAGTATCATAATTTTATACTAGCTATTATATGTAATGTATTAGCTTAGATTGTTTTTTTTTTTTGTTTTTTTTATTATCTATTTTCTGTTTTGTAACCTTTTATTCCTTTTTAAACTTTTGTAACCATTGCCAATCCCTCCGGGGAATGTGTAAGTGTTAATAAAAAAATTATCAAAATTATCGGTCATTTTTGGAGTCAATCGGGCGACTTCGGGAAATCACATGATCGAGTTGTTT